CTGATCAGCGCTATTTTCGCTTACTAAAAGAAAAAAGTCTTAGGAAGAAAGTCCGTCTGCTTTACCAAAAAAACAATATGTTGAGTGTTGTGCGAGTAGTTTCGAAATTATTCGCAAATCCATCAGTCATGCTGGGAAGTTAGTTTATAGAGAATCTGGCTACAAACACAGACAGCAGCGACTGATCAACAGAATTTTGCATAGGGAATGATCATTATAGTCTAAGTACTTTTCATCGGAATTGTTCTCCAATAATGTCTACTTTGATACCACTCCAGCACCATCCTTTCACTCAACTACTATTGAGATAAATGTGAAAAGCACCATACTTATGGTTCGATCTTGGGAAGTGGTCACCCATCTTCTTACTAATCGTAGTTTTGACACAATAGAGAAAGACAATACGTCACAATTTTCTACTTTATGGTGACAAACTCCATAATAATGCATGGTTTGATCTTCAGAAGTGGTTACCCATCCTCCTACTAGTCAGGCTCGTTCATAGTGGAGAAAGACAACATTTTGTCACAATTCTCCGATTTTTTATATGCGAGTTTTTGTGCGGTTTTGATAAGAATAAATCTACATGAACATGTGCATTGTACAGTGATATCGTGCTTCGCTCTCGTCGTGTGAAAGTTATCGTTCTTTGTTCGATAAGAACAAGGAACAGTAACCCCCTCATACGGTATGGACGGAGTTTGTGTTGCTTGTCTTGCCTTAACTCTGTCTTTCTCGAAGGAAACCACCTGATGAGACCCTTGAGAAAGGTCGAAACCGGTCGTGGTATCTTCTTTGATTCTTTCAGAAATGAATTCTGTCTGAGTCTCTAGTAACTACGAAGGCGGTTGTAAAATTACTAAATATAAATAGTATTAGTGTTCATAAGTTCAGATTTATAGTTCATTAGTGGCAAATAGACAGACACATTGACAATGATTCATCATCAACTGACTTTAACGACTCTGAATATGTGTATAGATGAACGATATCATCACTATCATTAATCACTTAATGGTAACTAGATAATAGAGTAATATAGAGTAATATGCTATCATAATACAAAAAAGCAAACCTTTTGTTTCTTTAGAAGCAATTTCTGGATAAGATGTGGGGAGGCAGGAGGACAACTCATCATCCTCTATCCAACCATATGACTAGAGGTTAGTTTGTATGCGTGTGTGAATGGATTGTGGCTGGGGGTGGATGGGTGTGTCGTTTACGAATATCTCCCAGCTACCCCGTACTCCAGCAAAACTAAGACAGGAAAAAATATGGGTGGGTGACTCGGCATCCTCTATCCAACCATGTAATTAAAATTTAGTTTGGGGTGGGGGTGGGTGGGAGCGTAGTTTACAAATACCCCCTTTTCTAGTCGATGTTTCTTGTATTGTCGCTGTTGTTCCTAAGTCATTCAGCTGAAAATTTGACAAACTGACTTGAATATGTTCATGTTGTTGCAGAATATTAAAAAATTGTTGCGGTGTTGTTATTTGTTGCCTTAATGCATAATGTTGCACTTCCGATTTTAATCCGTCTTGAATCTCTTGAAGAGAGAAAAGTTAACCGGTCTAGATCTGGTAGCATTCCGTTTGGAAAATAAAATCAATCAAGTTAATTTTCGTAAGAGTAAAAAAAAACGTTTGAATATAAAAACAGTTCCCAGTGCATTCAAGAGTCGTCAGTCGTTCGGAAAGTCTTTGAAAAAGGTTAATTCGTCTTTGCCGAAATGTGATAAAAAGAAAAAAATAATTGTTCAGCATTTAGCTCAGAAATTTGGTCTAATTCCTAAACCAACTCATCATCGTACTTCAGTTCAACTTTCTGCAAAATTGAAAAAAGATATTTATAATTTCTATGTTCATGACGATTTTCGTATCAGCTACCTGGTAAACGTGATACTATTGTAGTAAAAGACGATGATGGACAGAAAACGACGTACCAAAAAAGAATTCTAATTAATAATTTAAGAGAAAATTACGAGTTATTCAGAGAGCAAAATAAGAATGTTCGTTTGTTTTTGAAAAGTTTGGAAGTGTGTTGCTGGAAAAGTTTGTTCATCTCTAGAAACTTTCACTCAGTCATTGGTTTGTAATACAGAGAATGAGGAGTGTATGTTCAGTCAGTGTGCACTTTGTGAAAATTTCTTTCAAGATGAGGTTGAACAAAAAGTTATTGACGGTAACGTCCAGATTGAATGGCTTCAGTGGGCGAACGAAAATGGACGGGCAGAAAAAAAAGAGTATTCTGGTAGTGTTGATGAGGCAGTCCAGCTATTAGGAAGTAAAATTGAGCATTTTAAATTTCATGTGTTTGTTAAGAGAGAACAGTCGAAATATTTTGAAAAACTTAAGGCTGAAGTGACCGATGAAAAAGTTGTGTGTCAAGTTGATTTCGCCGAAAATTATGGAATGAAGGAGC